AGCCGGTGAGATTTGAACAGCCGAACTGCAGAACTGCAGTCAGCTGAAGTAGCCTGCAGTGCTGCATTTAACCACTGCGCCACCTCGGCTCATGATGAGCCACTTAAGTTTCTGGATTTCCAGAACCTCCTGTTCATCATGCCAGGTAAATGCAGGGCCCACATGGAGGCTCAAAAAGGGGGGGAAACGGGTCTACCTGAGGTTCTGGAAGTCCAGAAACGGGCCTGTTTCCAACCTCCGGAGCCCTTGGGAAGCAGTTTTTGCCCTCCCGGAGGCTCGAAAAAACCCTCCGGAACCTGGAGAGGGCAAAACATAGGCCTACTGGAAGTTCCAGAAATGGGCCTGTTTCCAGCCTCTGGAGGACCTCCGGAGCCCAGGGGAAGCAGTTTTCGCCCTCCCAGAGGCTCGAGGAAACCCCCCGGGAGGGCACAAATAGCGCCCCCTGGTGGCGCAGGAGGTTGACTAGGCCCTGCCCACCCTGGCTCCGCCCACCTAACAACAGGGCAGGGAACTCATTGCTGCAATTTTTGAAGCCCGCCCCTGGTTGTAATGATGTGATATTTACTTTGTTCTTGTTTCGACTTTCCGAAGTCAAACCTCCATACCAGACTCTTTTTAATTTCTGGCTATTAAATGGACTAAAGCAGCTTTCCTCTCCCAATGTCTACATCTCCTTCTCAGGTACATTAGCGAAGCCCCGTTACATTCGGCAGTGAATGGGATACCTCCACAGGCAGCAAAGGATGCAACATGACGGTCTCGGGGGCAAACGCCCTGCAGTGCGGGCCCGCCTGGGTCGGCTCCTTGGCGCAATGTGTCTCGTCTTCATTCTGCACAATGTCACTGCTGTCGCTGTTATTCGTCTCATAGTCGGAGGTGGCCTGCGCAGGATCATCTAAAATGAAAACCCAACCGCCTGTTACTGCTGTTAAGGACCCGACGGGGGACAAAATCTCTTTCCTTGAACCAACCAAAGCAGATCCTCATAGCAATTCCATCAACAGAAAGCAGAGTCCCACCAGTGGTGGCATTCAATTTTTTTTTTACTACCAGTTCTGTGGGTGTGGCTTGGTAGGCGTGGCTTGGTGGGAATGATACTGTAAAATCTCCATTCCCTCCCCACTCCAGGGGAAGGATATTGCAAAATCCCCATTCCCTCCCCACTCCAGGGAAAGGATACTGTGAAATCTCCATTCCCTCCCCACTCCTGGGGAAGGATACTGTAAAATCTCCATTCCCTCCCCACTCCAGGGGAAGGATAGTGCAAAATCCCCATTCCCTCCCCACTCCTGGGGGAAGGATGCTGTAAAATCCCCATTCCCTTCCCACTTCAGGGGAAGGATACTGTAAAATCTTCATTCCCTCCCCACTCCAGAGGAAGGATATTGCAAAATCCCCATTCCCTCCCCACTCCAGGGAAAGGATACTGTAAAATCTCCATTCCCTCCCCACTCCAGGGGAAGGATATTGCAAAATCCCCATTCCCTCCCCACTCCAGGGAAAGGATACTGTGAAATCTCCATTCCCTCCCCACTCCAGGGGAAGGATACTGTAAAATCTCCATTCCCTCCCCACTCCAGGGGAAGGATATTGCAAAATCCCCATTCCCTCCCCACTCCAGGTGAAGGCTACTGTAAAATTTCCATTCCCTCCCCACCCCACTAACCTGCTTTCCAGCTCTGTTCTGTGCAGGGCAACAAAAGAAGACCCAGCCAATCAGCTGGGACTCGGGAGGCAAAGAATAGATGGGGGCAGAGTCAGTCAGAGGTGGTATTTGCCGGTTCTCCGAACTACTCAAAATTTCCACTACCGGTTCGCCAGAACTGGTCAGAACCAGCTGAATACCACCTCTGAGTCCCACCCCATCCCAAGCTCGATTTTCAGGTACAGTAGACGCCTACTTACCTGTCCTGTTCAAGGTATGTGCAGCCCCGTCATTCCTATCCAGCATTCCTTCTCTGCGGTCTGTTTGGCTGTATGGCCTGCCACAGCTGGAAAACAGATGGTTTGACAGAAATTCGGTCAAACAGTGGGCAAGCAGCAAATGGATTGAAAGTGATCTATTAGGAGCAGTAACTGATGTAACTGCACATTCCTTTTCCTGATTCCTACATGCAGACGGATTGCTTGATTAATGCTTACTTAATGAGCAGATTTGGGTCCATGCATATATTTCTTCCCAAAACTGGGGCAGCGGCTGGTCAGTCTACACACCCATAAATCTGTTCTCATGTCCTCATTAGCCCGCATTGTGTTTTTTTTTTAAAGAAATATGTAGAAAAACCACATCTTTCTTATTCGCACACATAATTTCCCCAACATCTGGATTTTGTACCCATTTACGGTATCTCTGTTTGCAAACAATCCTGTCCAATGTACACACCAGTGTGAGACGGTTCCCAGAGTGCGCGTAGTTTTGAACGCTACTTTTAGACTTAACGGTATTGCAAAATTGAGAATCTGCATGAAGCAAAGGATAATTGTTCCAATCTGCCTCTTTCGAGTGGGTTAAATTACTTCAAAACGTGGAGCAAATGGAATTCCCCCCCTTCCCCCAATCCTGGTATGCAACACATAATTGATATATAACAGAGGTGGAAACCAGTTTTACAGTTAGGGGCCACACTTTACAAAAAAAAAAAATATCACTTGGCTTCCAGGGATCATAGAGGATGTGGTGGTAATAAAAAAAAAAGCAGTTTATATACATTCTCACACCCACACACAAGTACGCGGAGCTGTTGATGGAAAGGCAAGAGAACAGAGAACGGAAGAGTGAAAAGCAAAGGTGAGAGACAAAATTGTTCTAGAAATCAAAACAAGTCCTTGAATCGCAAAGAATAGTTTCATTCTGAAACTCACCAGCAGGAAAAGAGTCATCACCGTTTCTTGTGGACCAGAACACGCAATAAGACTCGTTTGATTACACTAGGACAGGGGTGTCAAACTCAAGGCCCGCGGGCTGGATTCAGCCCATGGGGTGCTTAGATCTGGCCTGGAAACAGAGAAGGACCAGCCGGCGGGGCCTCAGGCAGCTCTTCCAAGCTCAATTTTGGCTGTCAGAGGATTACAGGATGCCGTCGCTGCTGAAAATGGGGCTTGTGGGGCTGCATGCAATCCTCCCAAGGTCCATTTTGGCTGCAGAGGGTTGGAAGAAGCCATTGCAGATGAAAATGGAGCTCGGGAGCTTGTTTTCGCTGGCAGAGGGCTCGTTCCCACAGGCACCTCCCAACACGAGTCACATCGAGCTGGCCACACCCGCCAGGGCCATGCCCCCCCACCTCCCCCGAGGTCAAACCCAATCCTGGTGCGGCCCTCAACGAAATTGAGTTTGACACCCCTGCACTAGTACGTCTGTTAACTAGCTACAGGTAGTCCTCGACATACGACCACAATTGAGCCCAAAACGTCTATCGCTCTATGAGACAGTTGTTCAATGAGCTTTGCCCCATTTTACGACCTTCCTTGCCACTGTTGTTAAAGTGAATCCCTGCGGTTGTAACACGGTTGTTAAATGAATCTGGCTTCTCCATCGATTTTCCTTGTCACAAAAGATCACAACAGGAGGTTACAAGACTCCCGGGGGCATTGTAACCGTCATAAATAATGAGCAAGTTGCCAAGCATCCAAATTCTTATCATGTGAACACCGGGGGATGCTGCAACGGTTTTGGGATAAGTAGTCAGAAGTCGTTTTTTTCCAGTGCTGTTGTAAACCGAACAGTTGTAAATCGAGGACTACCTGCCTATCTGTCTGCCTGTAATCCATGGGCATGTAGAATGATTTTTAAAAAAATCATCGAAGTGCTAATAGATGTTTTTGTTTCATTCTTTAAGCCTAAATCCAACAATTCTTATTTCCTTTATGCCTCGCGTCTGCCAAATGTTAGTATCTATAGCTGGGGGGAGATGTCTGACCTTGCCAAAAAAAACAACAACCCCAGGATTAGAAGCCCGTGATGGCGAACCTATGGCATGCGTGCCACAGGTGGCACAGGGAGCCATTCCTGAGGACACGCGAGGCGCTGCCCTGTCAGCTCCAGCGCGCATGCGCGTGCTGGCCAGCTTATTTTCGGCCTTGATTTTCAGCCATTTTTTGTCCTCCGAAAAACCGTCCAGTGTGCAAACCAAAAGTTCGGGAACGGACTTCCGCTTTGCGCGCTGGGCTGTTTTTCACCCTCCGGAGGTTCCTAGAAAGCCTCTGGAGCCTGGGGAGGGCGAAAAACAGATATACCAGGCCCACCGGAAGTTGGGAAATGGGCTGTTTCCGGTCTCCAGAAGGCCTCCAGGGGGTGGGGGAGGCCGTTTTTGCCCTCCCCGGGCTTGCAACTTTGCAACTTTAATAAAACTTTGCAACTTTAATAAAACTTTGCAACTTTAATAAAACTTTGCAACTTTAATAAAACTTTGCAACTTCTTTAATAAAACTTTGCAACTTTAATAAAACTTTGCAACTTTAATAAAACTTTGCAACTTTAATAAAATTTGTATGCCGCCCACTCCCTAGGGACTCTGGGCGGCTCCAAGAAAGCCGTGTGCGCATACACATGGGTGTGTGTGTGTGTCATGTGTGCATCCGCAAGGGTCACGGCATGGGGGGGCATGAAATTATGGGAGTGGGTATGTGACTGTGCTCGACAGCGCGCATGCATGTGCTTTTGTCACCCGAGGCGAAAAAGGTTCATCATCACTGCCCTAGACAACCTATAATTTACATTGTTCCCTCTGATAAATTCATAAATTCAACGGCCCAATGAAACCTTCAGGTTTCGCAGGAGTAGAAAGAGCGGCTGAGGTTCATCTCAGCGGGAATCACTAGAAAATGAGCAATAATGCTTGTTTTCGCAGCACTATCAGGCAGATCAGAGTGGGAAAGGATCCCTAATTTAATGTAATAACCTCAAAGTCTCAAGAAGTTCCTATTTTACTACAAAAGCCGCCCTCTGATGACCATCAAATGCTCTGTGGATGGAGAAAGTGGAGTAAAAAGACTAAGACTAAGAGGGGGATAGCAACGTAAAAGGGAAGAAAAAGTGACTTAAAAAAAAAGGTATGTCAACCTTTTGGGGCACAAGAAATCACAGGTTTTATTTTGCTGGCTACGGTATTTATAAATTGGCTTCTCGGAACCTCAACAGGCCGTAGCAATAGCACTGGAGTGGGATTTCAGAATTTTTGGGGGTTGGCTGGGGTTCAGCCGAGGCCGGAGATCGTTAACTTCTTATTTTGCCAAGTGCCGTTTTAAAGAAAAAAATGAAAAATATGGGCTGCCAAACGTACGATTTGAGCCCAGATGACAGCAACCTGATCTTAGAAGGTTCCAGAGGGAGGAATTGGGAGGGAGCAGGCTGGATCAGCTCTGGTTTTAGAAAAAAAATTCACAAATTACAAAGTGTGCTCTGCAAGAGAGAGAGAGAGAGAGACACTCCGCGAAGTCAATTCTCCGATTAATAAAACGGTCTGTAAAACCAATTCCAAGTGTCAGTCTGGGTTGGCTCGGTCACCTCTGAAATTGTCCCCTGGAAACCGTCTTCTGTGAATTCATAATTTAAGTTCATCGTATCTTAAGTGCTCAGCATGTTATAAGATGTCAAAGCTCTGACCTGCTTTCCCATCAGACTTACACAAGGAGGGGGGGGGGGGGGGGGGGGGGAATGGGCCTGGGTGAATTTCGCCCTTCCTTGCAACTTGCTTCGTAGAGAGAGATGCAGAAATAGTCCTCGGTTTATGACTATTTAAGGAAAGTTGGAAGTTAGGGCAGTCTCAGACTTGTAAGTGATGGGCCTAGCACTGTTCTGACCCAAAGTTTCCCAAGAGCATGAGGCAAACTCCTGGTCCCGACAAAAAAACCCTTTTATTAATTTCCTGTGAATTCTGCTCATTCACATCCAGCAAAGTCTTTCAATGGAGGATTTACAGTCACAGAACTTATCTGGCTTGGAGAGCTGACAGGCTGGATATCTGCAAAACTT